GTTGTATAAATCGACTCATTGAGTTACAGCTAACCTAGTCGAAGAGGTTTTGTTTACCTAGGTAGGTGATAAGGTAAAACAACCATGAGTTTACTTTCCTAATACAAAGCTTGTTCCTAAGCCTCCATGATTCTAGTTTATTCGACTCAAGTAGCCACTGTAAATCAGTCTATCAGTAGCACCGCTAATTAACGCACTTGAGATATTTTAATATTGTTCGTTACCCTAAAACTGTGAACTAGCATTCTGGTATAAAAGTATCACTCTCAGATACTAGCACTCGTGTCCAGTGTCAGAAATCATACCACCGAATGATGGTCAACAGTCTCTGGATATCAAACAATAGCATCAATTAGTAACGTCACCGTAGGTTAATTATGGGTTAGAGCCCATTCAGGTAGAAAGCTTCGGGTGACAGGAAATGAACTGGTCAAGTGAAGTAGATTGTTGATTATAGGAGGATTTGGTTACTGCTTTTGGGATTCTGATACTCCTAGGATATGACAACTCATACCCGTCAGCTTATACTCACCCAAATGATGAGTACAACATCAAAAGGAAAGTCTAGAAATTAGCATTTGGTTAGAAAATTCCAAGGCTGGAAAATACCATCTACTTTGCAAATGACTTATTGGGAGTCAATCTTCCTCCTAAAGATCTAACATGAACACCAGTACGTTTGAAGATATTAGTGCTAACAGAGACCAAAAGTGATTGCCCTTCAGATGATCTTTTGTCAAATGCTACCACTTTAGCACCAGGTTGTCGCTTCAAACATTTCTAGAATCTTGACAAAGGAAACTTGTAGGAATTCTACGAAATGGTATACTAATAGGTTCCACCAAATAAACAAACCATTTCTGGTTTCCTATCTTGAATGGTTGGTAAAAACGGTGGGAGAAAAGCAATAGGATTGATCGATAATTCCTTGGTAATACTCAACCCTTGATACAATAACCCGGCTATGGGGCTAGCAACTCGTTCCCCAAAACGGAAATTCCTTGGTATGGAGGTTCGTCGTTTAAAGTCTAGGGGCGATTTCCAAAATGATTTCTAAAATGACGATAAGTCGTCTAAAGTATCCAAACTTAAGGGAAGGTTAACAGATTTTTCTTGCTCAACAAGGTGGCAAGATTCAAGAATTAGGTTCAAGAACCAAGAATGCTTACATCACATGTGTGATGAACGCAATATTGCCCAAACTTATGCTCTGATACCAAACTGACACACCCCGACCAGGAAAGTCCACTTGGACTCCAAATCTAGTTGTGTTGGCCGACACCTAGAAGGTGATGAAGCCATAAAGTGTAGTGTAGTGGAAAAAGAATGTGAATAAATTTAAACCTAAAAGTGCCTAAACAGAAAAGTGGGCGGGTGAGCGGGATTGCACCCATTTCACATGTGATGGTTGAGCATAAGAACAGTAAAGTAATTATGGTGAGGGTTATACCACTAAAGATAATCATCTCCTGAGATTTGCCAGAACCTTCGTTTACACGTAAGCCCAGCTACTAAATATAGGAAGGGTGAAAAATAAAGTTGAGTAGGTCAGCAAAACAACACTTATATGAAAACCTTTATTTTCGAATATAGTAACCCATCGCCGTAAAACAAGTATAGTTTCCTTAAAACATACTACGTAAATATGTAAACAACAATATAACCAGAAAATATGCCAAGTCATGATGTATCAATGCCACAATAATAAAATCATGTGATAATCAAGTATAGCTAACTGCTCATTCATCTAAGCTGACACACGAGTTCGAACAGATAATTTCTGACATGAATAGGACTGAGTGTAATCAATACGCTCTAGTACTATGATCATGTGAAGGCTGGTGCAAAAGCACGGTCACATACAAGTCGGATTGCCTAATGCAATCTGCCCGACAAGACCGGCACCTAACTTGGATCCAAGGCGAGTGAACGGTGCGATGTGAACATACACGTAAAGGACTGACCCTAGCCTTGGAGCGAGTACTAACACCTGTGCAGCAAGATGAGCATATACAAATATGTATGAATGTCATGACAGTAATATCCCAACCATATAGCAGCATTTATCACAATTAATATCACAATAACGAATACTTGACAATATAAGCGTAAAAATGAAGTAACTACGTATTTAGGGAAACTATAAATATGTATAGGTATAAAATAAACTGCCCACTCACAGATACACAGTCGAAACGAAGTCTCTGAGCCTTGCTTGACCCCGTACGCCCTCGAGATACGTTTCCCCTATATGTGAAATTACTAATTAACATAGTTTAATAGCACATAAACGGAAACTTAAATAAAACCTCAGTAGATTGCCCAAACATAAGGTTTGAATATACTAAATCGATCTACTTAACGTCACAGACCTACACAAATTGACAGAAGGTCAATCGGAGGCCGGACGCACCTCCACGTGCTGCCACAAGTGGCTGCACTGGCAGCCACATGCTGCACGCGCCGAGGACCCATGTGAGACAACACACGCTTATGCGCGCAAATACAGTTATACTCGCTTTCATCACGAGTTCCTGCGTTTTACAGGTTGAAGGTCTAACTTCCAGAGCTCCTAATAAGCTTGATTCTCAACCAAAAACAATTCTACAAAGACCAAATTAAAGTTAGGAATGTAATGAATCGATCCATATTCACAGAAAGTTCAAATGTGGAATGTGTTGTCTAGGAATTTAGTCTGAAAGTGGTCAAACGGCCACGATCAACTTTTCCCAAAAATCTGGGAATTTCTTCCCAACTTTCATACTAAAAAACTAACTCGATAGTTAGCCAAACTCAATGATTCAAAAGTCATTTTGAAGTTAGGAATATAGAGAACAAGTTTATACCTAATAGGAGTCCAGTCGTGGTCGAGGTTGGTCGGAAAAATGATCTGAAAGTGACCAAATGGTCACGGTTCCTTTGTTGGAAAACTAAGTAGTCTTCCCCTCTCGAGTTTTATGCGTTAAAATGTTCGTTCAAAATATGTATACGAGATCAAAATCAACCCATAGAAATGAAATGAAGGATCTTAGGATTTCCCGAGAGGCTTACCTAAGTCGTGAATGGCTTGAAAATCGTTGAACCAAAACTCACCGAGTCGAAGCTTCTGAGTTGGTGAGTCAAAACTCAACCAAATCATGATCTGGTTACATGGTTGTGTTCGTGGAGTTGAGGTGAGTTCAATGGTATAGGTTGCAGGTGACGTTTGGATGGTTTGAACGTTGATTGAGAGAGTTGCAGAGAGAAAGGGCTCTCAAGTTAGAGACATAGAGAGAAGCAAGAGAGAGAAAGTGATTTTCGTTTTTAGATTAGGTGAAGATTTGTGGAAGCATGTTCACTGATTGGGTGCCAGAATTGAGGGAAGGCACTTGATTGGTTAGGAGGAAAAACGGGGAAAATGAATGGAGGTGAGGGATTGGTGGAGAATCAAATAAAATAATTTGATTGGTGGGTGAGAGATGAAAGGGCACGGGCTACATTTAAAGAAATGAAGGGATAGGATTTTCTGATTTTGCATAGTGGAAAGGGCTAAGAAAATCTATCTCCCTATCTAACACAGTGTTTCTAACACTGATCGATTTGTACACACGCGTGTACAAAACTACCCATTATCCTCATACTTTGACGGAGCATAACTTTTTCGTTACAAGTCCGTTTCAAGTATAACACATGCTCACGCGTTCATATCAACGAGTACAAGTTAAGTACAAAACTATGAGAAATAATTAGTAGTCGAAAACAAAATCCACGTCAAATTACACATTTCCCAAAAAGGGCAAAATCATCTAAACACACCAATGAAAAAGAAATTCTAGTGAAAAGTAGGGATGGGTCGTCACATTACTTCCTCTAATTAGTGGGAAATGGATCCTCTCCACCCATCCGAGCCATTGAAATTTGATCCAACGGCTAAAGTTTAATTATAACTTTTAAAGGGGCCCCTATTTGTAGCCGTCGGATCAAATTTCAATGGCCTGGATGGGTGGACTTTGTGGAAGGGATCCGGAGATGATCCATTTCCTAATCAGTGTACCTAAATGTTCATATCATAATATATTTTACTAAATTAGTGTGCAAAAATGTCTATATCTAAATATATTGTAGTGAATTAGTAGCACATAAGAAAATACGCAAAAACATAAGTGTACCGAAAAATTTCATACCTAAATATATGATACTAAACTGGTGTACCGAAATGTCAGTACCAAAATATATTATAATAAACTAGTGTACCGAAATGTTCGTACCTGAACATATTATACTAACCTAGTGTACCGAAATGTTCGTACCTAAATATATTGTAATGAAGTAGTGGCACATAAGAAAATATGCAAAAACATGTGTACCAAATCTTTATGAAAATATTTTCTTATATAAGATACTTACCATAATGAGAATTAAAATTTATAATATTTTCATAAAATTATAAATAAAAAAGTGAGACATTTAATATGTTGGCATCAAATAGAGTCTAGGGACTAAAATCAATTTTTAATCTTGTATAAGACATTTTTCTAAAATTCATCTTATTTAAGGATTAAAATATAGTTTTCTATTTGTTGATTTTTTTTTTTTTTTTTTTGGTCAGACTCTTTAGCTAATAACTTTTTGAGACTCTGAAATTATCATCTTGATCTTTTTATTCCTTTTAATCCCACTCCTCGAGTTTTGTCCTAATAACTTATTGACACTGTTAAACTATCCTCTTGAGAGAAACTTGCGGCTTCTGAGTAGTGGAGCTGTTGCAAGGTTGTTGAAGCGTTGGTTGCACTGGTAGTGTGGCGGGAAAAAGAACTTTTGAATTTGGTTTATCACCCCCTACATTTGATATGATTAAGCAGATTTCGTCGCTTTGTGTTTGTGTAGTAGACTGTAGACATTGAAATTGCCGACCAAGTTTCCACGTGGCAACCTCTCTTTAAGCCAATGCAATTTGGTTTATCGTATAGCGTATAACTCGATCCATCCATGTGTTGACCGATAAGTTAAACCTCCTCCTCTATGGGATCGACCGTGTCCTATATACATATATGTTGTAGCTAATTGCAAGAAGCATTTTGCAGCTGCAGTTAACCAAATCCAAAAGAGCTCGAGCGACCTAAACCCTCATAACCCTAAACGCGGGCCGTAGATACATAGAAATAGTACCATGAATTCGAATTCTATACCGAATGGCGCAAGCTTAAGGGGTGGTAGCAGGAGGAGAGTTCCCGGGATACCTTTGATCAACGGAGGACGGAAGGATGACAGAGATCACGATCAAGATCTTATTCTGTTCCAGGAGTTGCAAAAGCGCGAAAAAGAACGCAAAATCGTCAGCCTCCTCCAATCTGTTTCTGACGAGTTTGAGCCAAATGGTACGTACGGTACTGCTGCATATTATTAGCATATATATATATATATATATATATATATATATTAACTCATAATAATTATCATAATACATATTGAATTTTAGGAGTTAAAAGATATACTTTCAGAATTATATATGAATATTTCATATATCCTTCATTCGTTTCTTAATTTGATTCATGTACTATAGCTAGCCATAGCTAGCCCTTTGATTCATTTGCTATAGCTAGTCCTAGCTCTGGTACATTTGTTTTGTTGGTGATAAAATTTACTTTGAGAAAAAAAAATTGCACGCAGGAAACTATCAGCTTTACAGAATTGAGTCTGCCAAAAAGGGATTTGAAATTTTTGCCCAAAATGACAAGAACGACTATGATTGGTAGGCCTTCTTTATTGATCCCCTTTTTTACTGATCCATTAATTTGATGTCAAACTAAATTTAATTTTAATTACTAGTTTTGTTTATGTTTCTAGCTTCTTATAGAGAGAGATGAGACATAAAATAAATAAAGCAAAGCTAGAAAAAGGGTGATCAATCCTAAGTTTTTAAGTTTTAATTACTGAACAAATTATGAGTTTTTAATTATAAAATTGTCTAGTTGTTGACTAATAGTAGCTAATATAAATTTCCTCGTCTTATGTACATCAATCAAGGTTGAAAACACCACCTGCAACTCCTCTTTTTCCATCTCTTGAAATGGACACAAATGGCCCTGAATTAGTTGTTCAAAGGGAAATACCAATCATTCAACCTCTTACGCGGGTATGTAAATGTTAGTCACTAGCTACTAATATTTACAAGAGATCATTTTTTTTTTAATTTCATAAAATTCATACAATCTGTTTTTTTTTTTTTATCAATGTTCATGAAGTTCATATATCGAAATGATTAATTGTGTTTTATAACCGAAAAAAATTAATACTTTTTAGTAAGCTATTAAGATTATAAATTTTTGTAATTTCTTAGAGCTCATTTGAATGTACTTTTAAAATAATTGAAAGCGGTTTTAGAAGAAAAAGAAATTTAGGTTCCAAAAGCATTTTCAGTGCTTTGTGCAAGAAACACCAGTTATATGCTTCTTCCAAAAAGTATTTAAGTGTTTTTCCAGGATTTACTTACATATTTACTAAAGATTGATTTTAAAAATATTTTCACAAAAAGTGTTTTCAGTTATTTTAAAAGTACATCCAAACAAGTTCTTAGTCAGTCAAAAGTGGGACCTAATTTCGTTAACAGACAATTGAAACAATAAATTTTAAATTATGGCAATTGAAGTTCAGGTTTTCGAATTAAAAATTGTATCATTTCATATAATAATTTGATTTAATGTGGAGCATGGTTCTTTTTAACTGACTCTGTTAGTTTAAAAGATTAAAAAAAAAAAAGACCACATCAATAATGTGGTTCATTTTCCTTTAGTAAGAATCAAACTTAAGACTTCTCATTTACAAGTGAAGAAAAATATTATTAGACCATAATACTAAGTGACATAGGTAATTGACTAAAACAAGAACGTAATTGGCTAAAAGAACTAATGCTCCACATTAAGGCAAATCCAAATATAACGTATTTATAATTCTAGAGAAAAAGCTCCGACTTGATCATAATTTAGAGATCCTTCGCATGCGGCGTGCCATAGTAACTAATGGAAGGAATTACTAGTAAACAAACATGGATGAAACCAGTTTGCAGGTGGCAATTGCAACACAGAGGCAGTTGAACCAAGAAATGGGAGGCCCAAATCTCCAAAACCAAAACCGAAAATCCCGGTGAGAAGAAGTGTCACCCCGAGTCAAAGACGAAGCAGCTACAGCAGCACAGGCACAAGTGTATTATCCAAGGCCCAAACAAAAAACAGAACGACACCAGTCGCAGTTGATCCTCGCCTGAACCAGAAACCAGCAACGAATATTAATATTATTAGGCCATCAGCATCCGTTGACACAAGAGCAAAAAGATCAGCAAATTATAACGTGGTCGGTGAAACATCAGCTCCAGTAGATTTCTTATCCTCCTCGGACATGGCAATGGGATTGGGAGGAGTGTTGAAGATGGAATATTCGAAAACAAAGGCAACGGGGTCAGCAACAACAACAACTACTACAACTACTACTACTAGTAGAGGTGTCTCTGCTGCCTCCACTGATCATCTAATTGTAGATGGATTTTCTAACGAGAAACCGGCTAATGTGAGGACAGAACAACGCTCGACTTCTGCTACACGAGGAGGACGAGGTAGAACTAGTACGACCCCGACTCACCTGATCCAGTCCAAAGCAGCTGCGCCAGCACCTGCTTCAAAACCAATAAGGAAGCAGTCATGCTCACCAAGCATCTATAGCGGTCGGAAAGTACTGGAAGGCACGATCCAGGTTCAGGACATTACTTCTATGAAAATTCACAGCAGCTTGAATAATACTCCAAGTTTAAAAGGAAGAATTCAAACAGGAAACAATGGAACCCAAGTTCTGGGAAGCAGAATGGTGCAGAGAGTGATGAATGCTAGAAAAGAAGATCATAAAAAACCAAATCCGCGGTTTCTGATTAATATTAATCAAAACTCTGGTTTTGGAAGAATGCACGGTACTCATGCCTAGCTAAGACTACGTACAATGGGCAATGGACATACCTCCAAGATCTTCTCAAACATGCACATGCATATGGAACGTACTTATATATGCTGCTTAACTTTTTCATGTTTTCAATTTCATATCTTAGTAATTTGTATCCTAAAAATCAGAATGGTTTATATATCTCCCGTTCAACCATTAAATAGTTTTACTGCTAATTAAATGATGATGATGATGTAGTTGTCGAGGCTCTCATTTAGTTATCGAGCCTCCCGTTCAACCAGTAAATAATTTTAGGGGTTTTTTAACTTTAATCATTCAAGAATATTGAAATTTAAAATAAACTTAGTGTTAGATTACTTATTGATTATAATCCATTGATGCGTCCTTAAATCAAAATAATTAATGTGCATTTTATTTAATGTCTCTCATTAAATATTTAAGTTTATTAATATACAAATTAAAAAAAAAAATTTACCAAAAAAGAGTTTTTTAATTTATTAATTTTATTTAACATTCTTCAAACTTGAAAGACTCAATTAATGTACTTAAATGTGTGTACCGAAATGTATGTACCGAAATATATACACCGAAATGTATTATATTAAATTAATGTACCTAAATTTATGTACCAAAATGTTAGTACAAAAATGTATTATATTGAATTAATGTATCTAAATGTTTGTATCAAAATGCATGTACCAAAATGTGTGTACCAAAATTTATACACCGAAATCTATTATAATGAATTTAATGTACCTAAATGAAGAAGACAAAGTACATCGAAATATATTGTATAACAAAAATTAGTTTATCTAAATGTTGACAATAAAATATATTAGGATAAATGAAATGAAAATTATAATGAAATAAAATTAATACATTAAAAATTAGGAAGAAAGAGAGAAACAATTAAAAATCAAAATAGAATTAATAAAATGAGGTTATTATTTTGATCTTACTCATGGTTTTAATCTAAAAGTCATCTTTGCCAATGATTAAAATGAAGTTCTCTAATAGTGTTACTACCAATATCACTCAGATTAATCTTATCGTAGATTAAGCTATCAACTTAAATGATCCTTATTACACCGAAAAACAATAATTCTATGAAGTGATTAAATTAAAAAAAAATCTCGCGTGAAACCTTCCGTCTTTTCCCTTACCTTCACTCTCTCCCCTTCCACTCTCCATCTCTCTGGATTGTTCACTCCCTTCTCTCCTTTAAGTTTTTTGTTTTTTCTTTTTCACCTATGAAAAAGGGAGAGGGACCTGTTTCAAGTTTTTCACCATCGTCGGACAACTATTTCTGAAACACACAATCGATTTTTTTTTTTTGTGGTTTATAACTAACTGAGTTTGAATATTACTGATAAAAGTTTGGATAAAACTGGTTTTATGCAATTGGATTTGCTGGGTTTAGATATTTGATGAGGAGACTAGGTTTTGCAGATGGAAGGGATTCAACATGACGTGAAACCCTTTTTTTTTATCAACTAGTATTTTGTTTTCATGTAACAAAAATTATTTAAATTGATAGTTTAATCTACAGTAAAATTAAAATGAGAACTCATATATAAAAAGACCTCACAGGTCCTCAAAGTGAAGACATTAGGATAGCAGCTTGTAAATGGTAAGAGGAGAAAGAGGGCATTAAATTGTTAATTATTAGGGTAGGGGTGGGCAAAACAATTGAAGAACCAAGAAATCGAATCGAGGAAGAAGAACCAGAGTTGACCAAAGCAAACAAAAACCAAACGAATACCAAACCGACTTGATTCGATTTCGGTTTTGATTTTTATTTGGGGATTCTAAAAACCGGTTTTGACTGAACCGAATCAATATAAATATAAATACATGTGTATTATATTTTTGAATTAAGTACCTAAAACTCCCCAACCTTTTAGTGTCATTCTAAATTGGTCTCAACCTTTTTAGACATTCTAAACATGTACCCAACGGTCTCAACCTATTAAAAATGTCACATCTGTTAAGCCCCAGTTAATTTTTCAAACATATATTATATGCAAAATCCACCAATTAGATATATCATGGACAATATTAATAGTAGTTGCCTCAAAATCTAAATTTAAACATAGATTATATATTCTTGAACCCAATGATCAAACATGTATTGAATTGAATGAAAATGGACCCAAATTGAAATACATCAGGAGGGCAATCTCTGAACATATAAGAAGGTTAAGAATTCTAATAGGGTTTCACGAAGTTTGTTTTTACTCATGCGATTTCCTCATTTGCCAATTCTTGGCTCTCGTAAAGCTTTCAGTTCTTTGTTTCTGCTCATGTGTGTCCGCATCATGGCAGTCCATACCATTTTAGCAACCACCATGACCTTCTTAATGTTGGCAGCTTGAGTGTAAGGGTGGAGTTTGTGGTTTTGCGTTGGGGTTTGGAGGTGATGGCATGATGAGGATGGTGGCAATCGTTAGTTAGTAGAGGCTATGGTTCCATGACCTTCCATTGATTTTGGAGAAAAAGTAAGCCTAGTTAATTTAACAGATTTTTAATTAAGGCTTAACGGATGTGACATTTTCAATAAATTGGGTACTAGTTTGGAATGTTTAAAAATTTTGAGTTCAATTTGAAATAATACTAAGGGTGCGTTTGTTTGCACTCGCTAGCATTCACTAGACTGGATTAGATTAAGTGGGAATGCAGTGCCGTGTTTATTCCACCCCGAGACAAGTTTTAATGAGACTCGCCCCGACTAACCAAGATTAACGGCTTCACTAGAGGGTCTTAGCGAGACCCCCCGAAATCGGCCGGATTCCTAAGACCAACTCCATGCTTCGCCACCGCCCCCCTCTGCTTCCTACTTGTTCCTCGCAAAATTCAAAACCCATATCCCATTTACCAACTCTGCTCTGCTTCGCCCCTCTTGTATACCATTTTCAAACCTAAATCCCTCAAAATTCGAGAACAAAAAAGGAAAAAAATTATGCACTCTTTCCATTCTCAAAACCATATCCCAAACCCAAAATTCGATACAAAAACAAAAAACAAAAAAAAAACCACTATGCGTATGAAAAGCACGGCAGTCATCCATTCACACATGCACTTCAGACTCCCTAATCGCAGAACTTCGTCGTTGACGCTGGAGAAGCAGAACGATGAGTACCCATATGACTCAAACTCTTATATGGGTTCTGATTTGCCAATTGCGTCTTAGAAAAATTAGCAAAAGAAACAAGGGAGATGAATGGAGAAAAATAGGAAGAAAAAGGTGAAGATGAAAAGGGAGAGGGACAAAGAAAAAGAGGGATTATGACAGAGAAACTTATTAAGGGTGGGGGAAATGAACAGAAAAGAAATAGGAAAGCACTACAGAGGTTTCTAAAGAGGAAAAATATAGAAAAAAGTAAGAATAAAATAATAATAAACCTGAATTAATAATATAAAATAATAATTATAGTGAATTAAATAATATAGTATTAGAATTTGTTATTGTTTTTAGTTTTTAATCCGACACTACACCAAACTATTCACTAAGTTAGTCTAAGTTAGTCTAGTTTAAGCCAATCCAGCTTAATCCCCAAAGTTAATCCAGTCCGAGATAGTCCGACACAACAAACGCACCATAAAAGGTTGAGGGGTTTTAGGTACTTAATCATATATTTTTTTAACAATATATGGCCCTTATGAAGTGCAAATTTATTATTTTTTAAGCCCAATATTCCTAAGCCTAATTACCAAACCCTAATCTACTACCCTCCCTCACCTCAATCCTCAAAAGAGCCATCTCTCTTTCTCTCTTCCCTTTCTCTCCATCCTTCTCTCTCTCTTCCTCCCTCACCACACTTAACCGACTAGCATTACCTTCTTTTCTATATCTCCATCTCTCTTTGTCCGTGTTTTAACCTCTCTATCTCTTCTTCATTTCTCTCTCTCTTTAGTCCCGTTGTCTGCACCTCAAACTCTCTACCATACTCGACCGACTGGGCGATTTCTCCGCCATCTCTTCCTGCCGATTCAGTCCCCACCTATTATATCTAATCCTATCTCAAAGTTGCAAAGCCAAAACCCTCGCCAGCATCTCTAGATCTAATTTTGAATGGGAAATATGCTTAAAATCGAGAACCAAGCGAATCGAACCGAAACTGAGGCGGTCCAATTTTGTTCAATTTTCCCTTGCAATTTTCAGTTTATGAATCAAACTAATTATATGACTCCAGTTTGGTTCATGATTTTAAGAGTGAGTTGGACTGAACTGAACTGTGCCCACCCCTTATTTGTGGAGAATAAGGGCTTTATTATGGTCATATATATTTCTTTCAAAAACATACAACAACAACAACAAAGCCTTTTCCCACTAAGTGGGGTCGGTTATATGAATCCTAGAACGCCATTGCGCTCGGTTTTGTGTCATGTCTTCCGTTAGATCCAAGTACTCTAAGTTTTTTCTTAGGGTCTCTTCCAAAGTTTTCCTAGGTCTTCCTCTACCCCTTCGGCCTTGAACCTCTATCCCGTAGTCACATCTTCGAACCAGAGCGTCAGTAGGCCTTCTTTGCACATGTCCAAACCCATTTTGTGTACGTGTTGATGCTTCATCGCCCATCATTCTGGGCCATACAGCATCGTCGGCTTTATTGTCGTCCTATTAAATTTTCCCTTGAGCTTTAGTGGCCTACGACGGTCACACAACACGCCAGATGCAATCTTCCACTTCATCCATCCAGCTTGTATTCTATGGTTGAGATCTCCATCTAATTCTCCGTTCTTTTACAAGATAGATCCTAGGTAGCGAAAACGGTCGCTCTTTGGTATTTCCTGATCTCCGATCCTCATCCCTAACTTATTTTAGCCTCCATTTGCACTGAACTTGCACTCCATATATTCTGTCTTTGATCGGCTTAAGCGAAGACCTTTAGATTCCAACACTTCTTTCCAAAGGTTAAGCTTCGCATTTACCCCTTCCTGAGTTTCATCTATCAACACTATATCGTTTGCGAAAAGCATACACCAAGGAATATCATCTTGAATATGTCCTGTTAACTCATCCATTACCAACGCAAAAAGGTAAGGACTTAAGGATTGTTGATGCACAAAATCAGTGAGGACTTTGGTACAACAGAAAGTATTAAGTTTGTGATCTTCGCTAGATTGCTCTAGTCATTAGTGTGGATAAGTATGTAAATGGATAGAGGCAGAAAAGCAAACAC